TCGTCGCTGTGATACGTTGATTTGTTTTGTGCCACAATTACGCAATCGGATTTCGAATAGGCAGCAAATGTCTATTTTATAGTCGTGCAGTGAATGCATTATAATGCACTGGCTTCCTGCCTCTAACAGTGTCCTAACATTCCAAAAAGCTATGTGGATGCTAGATCTGGTTTACAGATGGTTTGGGTCCCCAGCTTGATCATTTGTCACCCCTTCCACTTGGAGAGCGTAGGACGCGTCGCTTTCCGGGAACTTCGTAGCATGAGCGTGATGTAAAATTGTAAGATGATCCATGAAGAACCGCGGCAACGACGTACCAAGTGACGTCCCCAGCGTCGCTCGGCTTTTGTTCAGTGATACACCTCCAATCCTTGCACAACCAAATTCGACCTTCAGGGTAACAGGGTAGAATAGTTGATGGCCGGTGACCGTCACAACGGTCCATAAACGTTTCAGATGACTCAGCGCCAGTCCAGGATCCCACCGTGTCTGTGAGGTCTGAGGGTCGGTATCTAGCGCTTATCTCACTCCCCTACCCGGGTGAGTAGGCAAGTGGCAATGGCCTAATTTGGTGGAGGACCACATTCGCACGTCAGGATGCTGTCATCAGACACTAAAATTTTAAAAGGGATATCGGATGCAATCCAGAAACCCTAACACATCCTCTAGCACCACCACAACTGATTATTCAGTGTGGTAGCCCCCACCTGTTGACTGTTAACCACCAATGTGACCCTTCTATCCGCTACGTGGAAACGCGTTCGGTAACATTCAGCTGTGTTATCCGCAGACAATCCATTGACTACGGGCCAATATACATGTAATTAGTTGCGCATTAAGTATAGTAAGATTTAACCAGTGCCAGAAAGTGAACTCTTATGCCGTAAGCATTGTGATTTAGTGAAAGTCTGGTCGAAACAGTCTCATGACCAGAATTAACAATCTTTGTCCAGTGCAAGTGAAAGTTGAATCCTCTATACTCCTTTAGATCATTTCATTCGGGTCGATTTGAACTTGCTGCAGGCTGAAAAAGTCCTTTAACCTACGATAAAATTCCCGAAACGCTCCGGTTTCATGATGGAGATAGTGGAACATTGATCGAAATGAAGCACAGTTGACCTCTTCTGTTCGTGAATTTGAGTTACGCAAAGAGTAAGACCCTCAATAGGGATCAAAAATACGAATGCATGTCTCCCATTTCTTTAGTACGATATATCCTGTACCGTTTCAGTCAAGAGACCACACTGTCTACTCCGATCTTTTCGCATTCGGCCACCCACTCAACTTACAGCGTTATATAGAATGCACCAATTTTTCCAACGGCTAAATCAAGGTCGTTAACGTGTGCGTTCTAACCAGAATGTTCTAGTGTCGGTTCGCGCATCTCTTGCTGAGATGTATGCGATTATCTTTTCCCACCACTGAATGTTCCTGAACATATGATTCAATGCTCCTGTTGATCATTATGGCCAAAACCATTCCCAAGATATCTCTCTGCTCGATCGCATCAACCCAAGTTTTCAAGTATTTTGTCTCTGCAGTCTGACCAAACGGCGAACCAAAGGCTGAAATCCAACCACGTGCAGGTGAACCTAGACGGGTCTTCCTTTATCTCCTTAGGCTATTCTGGAACCTCTGCGAAATAAGTCTACACACCAAGCTTCGCTTTTACAAACGTTACACCCCATCCTCAATTATGGTTGTTGAACAGTGCAAGATAAAAAGAAACTATAGGTCGTTGGCTATTGGTGCTTGCGTCATATCTCCAAAGTTACTTGAGATTATATATATTTCACACTTGAGGAGATTGGGCTTCTAATAATGAGGTTTGACGACGCTGCCCAGATATCGACAAGCGCCACAACGCCGGCACCTTCAGTGGTTTCTCCACGTGCTCCAAGTGCAAGAAACTCACGTCAGACTCTAGCTCCTGTACGCTGCAATAGATGGCGTTGCTTATTCAGCGGCCAACTGAAGACCTGGATGAATTCGATCAAGGTGGTTATTGACCCAAGGGCCAATCCGTAAGTGGTACTGGTAACTGAAACCAGAAATAGGTCCCACTGTGCTAACATTGCCACGTATGGGTTGCCGTCCGAGACATTCAATAAGCCGACTTATCTTCATGCAAGAGTTTATCGCTTAAAAGCAAAAAGGTAAGTATAATAAAGGATGGACTTCCAGTTGTGTCAAGACCGCCTCCCATCTTGCACGAGGTAAATGATATAGTTGCGAAACACCTAGCGGCTAATAAACCAAATACATGTTTTCGTTTGTTTTGCAGCTCAGATCAACGTCCCTATGTCTACAGAGCAGTGTCGAATAATAAATGGCGAAATGGACGGACAGCTTTCTTTTGACGGGAGTGACCCAACAGATGTCATAAGGTGTCCTCTTGAATTGATCAACGCATTTGAATTCCAACTGGAGAAATGCTTCAAGTTATCTGAAGAGTTTGATGCCCCAACACCGTTCTCTACTGGTTATGATAAGCATCTCTCCGAATCGTAGGTGACTTTTTTCGTCCCAGATATTTTGTTCTAGCTTGTGGCAAAAGTTGCTGACTGATGGTCCCATTCAACCACTATGGCATAAAGGTACTCTTTTCAATGCATACATTAATTCATTGAATCTGATGGGTTGTGAGGTTAGTTTGTTGTGTGTAACAAGCATATAATTATGTTGATATTATAGGAGCAGCCTGGTTTGATTTTGGACCTCCCGGAAGATGAAGACCTGGCTTTTGCGTTTGATCATCACTCGTTAATCACGTCACAACTGCCAGACACGTACGATGATGATCCGATAAAAACTGCCGATGAAGTTATCAGGGAAATCGATTTGATCATGGTACGGATAGACGTTTAATTGATATTCGTTCTTCTCAGGGTCATGATGAAGAGGTATTGTTCAACCATGGCGATGACTCTCCAGCGATTGAGTCTCCCCCGGTAAATTGTACCGTTCTCGGAAGCAGTCTTCTACCGGAGAAAGGTGAGTGCTTGTTTGTTTTTGTTGTTATCCTACAGCCAAGTGCAGTAAGGTGAACTTTATTTACCACTGCCAAGCTATGGATGAAAAAATGTGTGGATAAGGGATGAACTTGATTAACTAACAGTATACAACCAACAGTGGGAATCAATCCTATAAGAAATGACAGGGACGGTATTGCTTTTCTTTCATCTGTTTCAGTAAATGCATCCAACGGATCATTTAGACATATACTGGACAAAACGGGTTCTTATACTCTACTTCCTCCCCGTATATTCCTCTATGTTTCTTTTCGATTTCCTGTGTGAATCTCCAAATAGGGATTCACGTCCTGAATTGATAACTACGAACAAGGCGCGGTGCAAGAGACAACTGTTAAGCATGTGCAGCTGTTGAATGAACTGTCGAAGCCTACATAGCCCAATTACTTGTGATCTAGAATTTTCCACTCAGCAGCACAACTTTACTTATGGAATCGAGTCCGAAGTTCGCTGAACACATTGGACCTCTCAGGAGCCAGTAGTCCTGATGGGACAAAAGCGAAGGATCCCAATATGCGAGGATCAGCATAGGGGTTGCTGGCGACTGTAACGTCAGCTCAGGAAAAGCCTTAGGAAAGATCGCGAAAACTGATGAACCAACATAGCTAAGAAAATGAAGGTGGCTTGTGCATCAGGGAAAAGTCAAAGACGGTTTCACCTGATACGCAGCAACGAGGGTCCACGCATGCCGGTCAGTAAGACTATTTACAATATAAATGGACAGAGTATTCACAATAAAGAAAAACGATTTAATCGCTGGGCAGAGTATTTTAGTGAACAGTTCGATTGACCTAGTGTTAATGCGGTTTTTCCGGCAATTGCGGCTGAAACTCCATGGGTGGTAACATGTGAGCCTCCAACGAAATTGAAAGTTGTATTCAATCAGTAAAGATAGGAAAGGAAGTGAGAGCTGATGGGTTTCTCCATTATTTTCAAGGTGGGCAGTGATTCTCTTATCGACTTGATTACTAGCTTCACAGCATTTGGTCGGAAGAGCGTATCCCTTTATCCTGGGGTGGATCATTGATTGTTCTGATCTTCAAGGAGGGATCACGCAATGACTGCGCAATCCACTGCTGGATTAGTTTAGTTCCGATCGGCACAAAGGTGTTAAATTTTGTGATACTTTGCTGCCTGACACCCTTAATGGAGATCAATCTTCACGAACGGCCAGCAGGATTCCGACCAGGTCGCTGTTGCATCGACCAAATCTTCACTCTGAGTCAAGTCCTCGAATTGCACCACGCACATCGACCAATAATCGCAGTGTTCCTTGATCAGAAAGGTATTCTTGATTCAGTTGATCGTGAATCCCTAATAGGTTCATTGCTTAGCAAAAGAATACCGCAGAAGTATGTAAACCTATCGCGATTACTGTACTTGTATACTACGGGTGGCCTTTGGGTCTACGGTGAGCTAAACAAATCGTTCGAAACCAGGAGCGATGTTCGTCAAGGGTGCTCTTTTTCACCATTCCTATTCAACTTTGTCGTAGACGGAATACCGGAGAATGCACCAAGTGGTCTTCGAAATGTTGGTATTGAATGGTCAGCTGGAAAACGCTGTGCGATTTAGAGTACACTGACGACATCGTCTGTCTGTTCAAATGTATGGAGGACGCGCAAAGCGCTCTTGATAGACTTTCAAGTTCTGTAACTTTATACGCGCTTTGCATCTTCAAAGTGCAAACTGGTGCTGCAAGATTGGGTATCGTCCACCCTGGTGCTGATGCTTGATGGTCAAGAATTAACTACGGTGGAATGTTTATTCTACTTGGGTAGTTATGTGACAAATGACGGTAGTATAGTCAACAAAGTAACGGCCCGCATTTCCGAGGCGTGAGCAGCTTACGCACGAGCGAAACCTTTGGTGCAAACGTTTCGTTGAAACTGAAATTTCGTGAATACAGCGCCGGTATGCGTCCAGTTCTGCTTTATGGTCGCTAGACCCTAAATTTTCACGTGGAAGATATTCCTCGTCTAGAAGTCTTCGACTGCCTATGTTTACATAGTTTGGTGCGCGTTGGATGGGGCGAGCGTGTAAGCAACTCTAACGTAAGCCGTCGCGTATTTGGCAGTGATTCGATGGAGAATTCGTTGTCCCATCAAATTCAGATCAGTCGGCTTCGCTGACTAGACCACGTATTACGCATGCCCCGCTATCGTCTACCACCACACCTTATTCACAGTCGCGGCTTCAGGTTGTAAGAAACCACGTGGAGGCGAACAGATGACGTGGAAACGAGGCATGAAGAAATGTACAGAATGATTAGGTAGGGTAGGTGTCTCCCGTCTTTTAGGTTGGGGTCCAAAAGACTGAAACTGGTTGGTTGGAGACACTGAAGGATATCGTAACTAACCGATAGTAGTGGGGTTCTTGTTGTAATTTCTTATCAGGTCAGAATTTTTGAAAAGGTGTGTATGCATGAGTTAGGCAGAGCTGAATGCTACCAAGCACGTCCCCGGGTTGTGGATAGGGGCATACCTTCACCGAAGAAGGTTAGCTGTGAATAAATTGTGGCATACCGCAACAAATAAGCAGTCACGAACAAACAGTGGCGTCACTACCAGGGTGTGGTGAGTTTCAAGCTGGTCACTTGGTTCCTGTTTAAAGGTCGCATAAGCCCAGTGACGGTGTCATGACAAAGGTCGATGTGACTGGCCTTTTAAAACTACAGCCATTGACCCCCTCACTTCCGAGACGAGGGATTACTTCCTGCTACCTTTCAGTTCCTACTTGGCTGTGCAAAGGCTAGAGGTGCGCCCTCGAAATAAAAAACGTCGAGTGACGCTGGGGACGTCTCTGATACCAAACTCCCAAGGAATTTCATGTTCATGATCATGTCTGGAGCCAAGTTATTCTTTCCAAGGAGCCAGCCGCAGTAAAGTAAAGTAAAGTAAGTATGCAGTTAGGTTCTGCGCTGTGTTGACCATAGAGGTTCACATTTTTTCCGCCGGCCAGTTAGGCCCAATTACTCTTTATCTTGTACTTTATTACTTAATTGGTGTACATTGTGAGCTTGGCAGCGATGAGTGAAGTTCGCTTCACTATATTTCGCCGTACGATGATGATGCTGTTGACGAAGACCACGATGGACATTAGATGTTAATCAAGGGAGCCATCCGGATATCAGTCAAAAAACGACGGATTCTGACGCACAAACAAAACACAAACGATGGATCCCATCGACCCCAGCTGCTTTTCTGGATTCCCGAAGAACCATTGCCCCAGATGCCAAATTTGTGATAGAACGCAAATTCCTGAAATGCCAGCTCATCAAGATCCTGAAGAATGACTGAGGAGTGGTGGGTAGCAAAACTCAAAGAGATAAATAAGGCTTCGGTTGCTTTTTTAGTGTATACCACCGTGTGATGAACAGCAGGCAGGGCGGACCCCATATTACGAAGATTTGCTGTTCAGTGAGTGTAACCGACAACCTAACCCCGGGACTTGGAGTGGCGAATCATATAAGGCCCCGCTAGGATATCCTTCGGTTATCGGGAACAATCACACTCTTTTTCGTCTGATTAAGACCACGGTCTCAATGAAAGCAGACGTAAGTGAGGAATCCGATAGCACACTGATTCGTATTGAGAAACTCCGTTTTGAACATCCCACCTGAACATTCTAAGGCTCAGTTCAATTGGCCCCCATCGTTATTCGGTCCGTCAACCCCCGCGTCGATCAGGCGACTACTCCCAGTTTCTTTTTATTACACACCTTAGTGTGATGTACAGCAGGCGGGGTAGACTCCATAGTCACGAAGACC